CGCCCAGCCTCTTTCCTTATGTACCCTCATGTTCTTCTGGGTCCCCATTGTTCCCAGACTGTCTGTTCTCCAAACTGAATTATGCAAATACCAGCCAGCCCAGTTTCCATGGAGACCTCATCTCCCAAATTCCTCAGCCTGTTCTCTGGCAGAAGAGACCCACCCAAGTGACAACCACAAACAAGGCCAAATGGCAGGAAGTCTTCCCTGTGCCCTGGGCCATCAGTCTCTGTCAGTATTGAACCATCTCAACCCTGCTGTGTGGTTGGGGGGTAAGAGCAAAGGCTTTCTCCTCAAACCTGGAGGGGAGACTGTGGTCTCAGCATCTCTCCTCAATTAACAATGGTCTTTGTCAGATCCAAACAGATTCACTACCATAAAGCATCTCCCTCAGTGGGCAGGAGGCAGCATCTGGTATTACTGTTCAGCTCATGCACTCATGAGCCACTGCAGAAATGACATACGCAGAATCTTAAGCTCTGCTCCCTCTGGGCTAGAACAAAAACCAAACCCTCCGGGGAGTACCACACCCAGGTTTTTGAATCAACAGTCCCTTCCACAGCAAAGACACAGATTTGTGCTAGTGACAACTATGAATCACAAGGCATATGCACTGGAAATTATCTGACAAAAAAATATTACAAGTGTCCAAGCTTACCTGACATCACGGCTGCAGCCAAGTGAAATAATGGTAAGTTCGATGCTAAATGTGCACCAAACTCTTTAGTACTATACACATATTCACCTTAAATCTCATACCCAGGGGCTGGGTAGATTGCTCAGTTGTTCAAACATTTGTCACACAAGCATGAAGACCTGAAATCAATCTCCAGCACACACATTAAAAATTGAGGCTTGGTGGTGAGCTAATCCCAGTGTCCAGAAGGGAGAGACAGGCAGATTCCTGGGGCCTACTGACCAGCCAGGATAATCCGTAAGCCCCAGGTCCCAATGAGACTTTATCCCCCAAATGGAGATGGACAGCTTCTAAGGAATGGCACCAGAGGCTGCCTCCTGGGCTGCACGTGAGCATGCAGCGCGTGCGCACACAGACACACACACACAGACACACACACACTGCCTCACCGCCTCACAATCCCCATCAGCACTAGGGGTGGAGAAATACTACCTCTTTTTCACTTGACGAAACTAAGGCAAGAAGTCACTCTCCCAAGGTGAGGTAGAATCTGAACCCAGGTTGTCCATCCCAATTTCACATCAAAGTCTCTGGACTACTAGACTCCTTTGTGAGGACTGGAATAGAAACACATTTCTTAAGGTCTCTGGTTTAGAGGGCTTTAGCCTTTTCTTTTTGTTTTAAAGCTCTAAGGTATGTTATTTAAGCAAGAAGCACAAAGAGATCTAACAATTGAACTTTGCATGAAACCACACAGGACCAGCCTTTTCTACAGAGAAAGACTATTCTTCATTTTATCTTTCCTGCTCCTAGTCTGGCTGCTTAGAGACACAGGACAGGACAATGTGCTCTTCAGTTATGGTATGTGTTATGTGCATACAGAAAATACTCATCAATAGAGTATGTGCCATGTGCAAAATTTCTGGATAGACTACGGAGAAAATTGATACTATGGATTGCCTAGGATAATCGCACTGAGAGACTGTCCTAGCACATTCTGTACCTTTGGAGTTACAGCCACATGAACATCATCTAATCAAATACTCAAAACTTGAGAAATTTGTGTTTTCTTTTTTCTTTTCTTTTCTTTTTTTTTTTTGGCCCGGGGGTGGGGAAGTGTGTCCTTTCCATTTTGAGACAAAGTTTCTCCATATAGCTCCTGCTGTCCTAGAACTCACTCTGTAGACCAGGCTGGCCTTGAATTCAGACCTGCCTGCCTCTGCCTCCTGAGTGCTGGGTTTAAAGGTGTGCACCACCACAAGCTTGATGGCCTGTTTTATGGGGCTTTTGAGGACATAATTTCCAACCCACAGTGCATGACTGCATCTAGACAAGCCACATATTGCTTCGTAATGGGGTCACAAGCTGAGGGGTATCCTCAAGAGATGTTTGTGTGCACCATACACAAAAGTAGATGCTATCTACTACACCCCTAGATGCTGCAACAGACTGCTGCTGCCTCTCCACACACCTGTCACTGTGCCGATCCTGTAGGCAACTGTTGATACAGCAGCCATGTGTCAAGCATTGGAAAGGCATAGGGAGAACACCAGAGAGTGCTAGAACTTACCAGTGCTGGGCTGGGGAGGTGTTCCACCAGTAAAGTGCTTGCTGTCTGCGTAACGCAGGCTTGATCTCCAGAACCCACATAAAAAGCTGGGCACAGTGGCATATGTTCGGAACTGGGTAGGCAGAAATGGGTGGATCTCAGGAGCTCACTAGCCACCAACTTGGTGAGTTCCAGGCAAGTGAGAGAAGCCACAAAAAAGTAGATGGTTTCTGAGGAATGGATACCCAGTAGACATCTGGACAGACACATTTTTAGTCCATTTATAATCTTCAGGACTTTCAGATGTGGCCCATCTTTGACAGAAACATCCTTATGTGGTTGTGGAATGGCCATTTCCCACAAGTTGAAATGCTTCCTTCTAGAAGGTGCTGGCTGGGCTTCTCATAAAGCTCTCACAGGAGGGGGTGGTCAGACAGCTCAGTGGGTAAGGGCACTTGCTGACAAATCTGAGTTTGATCCCCAGGACCCACATGGTAATAGAACCCCAAGTTGTCCTCTGGCCTCCATACAGGTGCTGTAGCACGCACCCATAGTAAGTACATGTAACTTTAAAATTTTTTTTTTTTAAACTGAATCTTTCAAGACCCAGTTAAGTTCAAGAACCAAGAATCATAGTCCCTCTCCCCAAGGTGGCATAAGTACTATGACTGGGGAGGACATTCTTTACTGGGCCTGCTAACAAGCTGTTCAGGAAGCTCCAGCAATGCAGCTTTTGAGCCTTTTGGCCACACTGGGGCAGGCTTTAAGCTGTACAGCTGCCTTGAAGGTACTCATGCATCTGGAGGTAACCTCAATGAAGTGACTGGTCCAGCAGGTGTCTCTGGAGTATGTGCCCTATCTGGGATGAATTAATTGCTCATCTCCTTAGGCCACCCAACAGTGGTGCCCAACTGTATAACCCATGCTATAGCCAACTGGTGGGCCCAATGACATCCCTGGATCTAGAATTGGACAGGTGGTTGGTTATGTGGCTCCTACATTCATCACAGAAACCAGCAATATGGGCAAGTCACAGTGGCAGGCAAGGGAGCTCCAGGTCATGGAGATGATGTAGGCTAAGGGATAAGAGAATGCTGGGAGAGCTTGTTATGTTCTTAAGGTGTTCAGAAAACTCATTCAGGGTTGGAAATCATTCTGTGACTAAGAGCACTTGTTGTTCTAGGGGAATGGAGTTCAGACCCTGGGCTGATGTTAGGCAGCTGACGAATACCTGCAACTCCAGCCTCAAGAGACCTAACACCCTCTTCTGGCCCCTGCAGGCACATACATACAAACATAAACAATACAGATAAATCTTTTAAAATATCTTGAGGGGCTGAGAGACAGCTCAGAGGTTAAGAGCACTGGCTGCTCTTCCAGAGGTCCTGAGTTCAATTCCCAGCAATCACATGGCGGCTCACAACCATCTATAATGAGATCTGGTGCCCTCTTCTGGCCTGCAGGCATACATGCAGACAGAATGCTGTATCCATAATAAAATAAATCTTTAAAAAAATAAAAAATAAATCTTGAGTTGGGTGTGGTTGCACACTAATCCCAGCTCTTGGGAGGCAGATGCAGGGCCACCTCTTGTGAGGTCATCCTGGTCCACACAGCATGTTCCAGGCCAGCCAGGGCTAAACATGAGGCCTGAGTGACACTGTCTCAAATAAACAAATCCTAGCCCTGTCTCATTGCTGGCCAGAGTCATAGACTTCTATTGTTCTGATATTGAACCAAAGACCATATTCTGTTGAAATTCCACCCTCCAGAAGCAAGAGGGAGCAAGGTAAAAACAGCCACTGTATACTCAAGGATGACCTAGGAAGGGGTCCTCCTGTCCCCTGGTTTGCAGAAGCTCCACTGTCAAGACTGAGTCCCACAGACCCTCCAAGTGACACTGCACTGAGGAGCTGGGATGCTCTCCATTGCTACAGATGAGGAGCAGGCATTGCCCCCAAAGACCCAGTCTTGTCAGGTTGCTGTGATGAAAATGGCCCTGTGTGTACCAGGTGGCATGTCTGAAGGGTGCCAAGTTTCACCCAGCAGGAATCGAGTCAGGAAACCTTAGTTATGAAGGCAGGGCCAGGCAATTGGCCCTCTGAACACAGCACTGGAGAAATTGACCCAGGTTTGGGTATGGAACCACCAAGAGGACATGGAAGGATAGCTCCTCTAGGAAGCATACAGGATGAATTCAAAAGGGCAGACTGAACAGGTGCCACCTTTAGCAATAATGAAGGTATGAAAGAGGACAAGGGCCTGTCAACAGCACAACTGTCCCACTCCTGAGCCAAACTATAGGTCTTGTGCTGTATATGCTTCAGGGCAATGCCCAAGACCTGAGGATATGCAAGAAAGGGAAAAAGAAAATGCGCTGGACATCACTAAGACTGTACGAGGGGGCTGGAGAGGTGGCTCAGCAGTTAAGAGCACTCACTGCTCTTCTAAAGAACAAAGTTCATTTCCCAGCACCCACATCGCAGCTCACAACCACTTGTAACTAGCTCCAGGGGACCTGATGTCCTCTGCTGGCCTCTATAGGCACTTGTCCACAGACACATGCATACACAAATACATAAAAAGTGTTAAGATTACTTGTTTATGTAAATCTGTATGGGGGTACGTGCACACATGCACGTAGGTACCTGGTGTCAGATCCACTAAAGCTGGAATTACAAGTGGTTGTGAGCCACTCAATATGGGTGCTGGGAATTGAATTCAGGCCCTCTGAAAGATCAAGTGCTCTTAATCACTGAGCCATCTCTCCAGGACCTAAACAATTTTGTTAAAGACAGTAAAAAGACAACTCAGTGAATAGGAGGAAAGTTTTTATAAGTAATGTATCTGACAGATTAATTTTTATCTAGAATGCATAACAAACTCATAAAATTTCATAATAAAAGGATAGACAACCCAATGGGTAAAGGCTTTGAAGTCTCTTAAGTAGATACACAGCAAACATGAGAAAAGATGTTCCACTCTCAGCCGTCAGGGATGGCAAACGAGACAAACTGCATCCTCACCAGGACAGCTAAGGTAGAGGGCAGCAGTGTTGGCAAGAGCGTGTTACAAACTAGCCCTCACCTGCTGCCGGTGGGAGTAGAAAATGGTACAGCTCTATCAGAAACAGTTTGGCAAGTCCTCAAAGGGTTTAATATAATTACCACCTGACCTGGAAAACAGACTCCAAGGTATATGACAGAGAATACAAAAAAAAAAGACATGTCCACACAAAACTTGCACACAAATTTTATAGCAGCTGTACTCATAATAGCTAAAAAAGCTGCAACAAGCCAAATGTCCACCAACTAACAAACTAAACAGTACATTCACTGCACACTATGAAATCTTACAATGGAAAGCATCAGGTCAGGTACAAGTTACAATAGGAATTTGTGTTTACAAAAGCACTGAAAGAAAACATTGTCAGTTGTGAGTCAAATAAAATTTTTCTAAAAGAGTCTACATCACTGAAATTACCCTACTTAAAAAAAAATGAAAATAAAAAGCTCATTGTAACAGTTAATTTCAGAGAAAGTTTCTTACATAGAAACTGAACGCACCACACCAAGGGCATTTCCTTTCACACCTACTTGGATCCCAAAGTGCCCAAGCATCTGCCAATGCTGTCCCTAATCCCACCCTGGCCTGCACTATAGTGTTTCTTTGAGGCCCCACTTGTCAGATAAGCAATGCATATGACCCATTTATAGCCAATTAGTGGGTGAGTGGCATGGTTTAAAACTTCAGGCTTATGTAATGAGGGGTGCAGGCTAAAACTGGGATGCCAGGTCCTAGGTCAGTAATGTGTCCCTGATTATGACAGTGCATAAACTGGGAAGATATTTCTCCTTATAATACCACTGGGGACTTGGTGGCCAGCAATTAGACTCCATCTATAGGCATGACTGAGAAAGAAAATGTGCAGGTATACACAAAGGAGAAGTTGGAGTGAAACCTCACAGAGAGCAGAGCAAGAACAAGTGGACTGAAGCCAATGAAGACAAGGGCAGAGGGCCAGGACTCTCCCATCCCCATAGGTGGCAGGCTGTAATCTGGGACTTCTCAGTTCCTAAATGAAACAGAGGCCCCTTCTCAGAACTTCTCCCATGATTTCCAAGACCACTATTAATTCACAGACACAGAAATTGAGGCAGAGAGAGAGAGAGAGAGAGAGAGAGAGAGAGAGAACAGACAGAGAGAGAGAGCACAAAAACAGGTCATTTTTTTTTTTTAAAGTGTTCTAGAAACTTGGACGTTTTCAAAGGAAACTTTCAAAGTACGAATTGCCCAATCAGGGTCAATTCTATGCCACTCAGAATGAGAAACAGAGCTCAGGTTCCTGCCCAGCCAGCATCAGCTGTCTTCTTACTGCATTCTGTTGCTTCAGCCTCTATGCCACTGACTTGTAACTGGTCAATCCTTAGCCACTGCCAAATGCTGCCTTTCCTGTGACATCCACTAACTCTGAGTTGTACTCCAGAGAGCCCCACACCCTACAAAGTTCCCACAGAGCAGGCCAGGGCTTTCCTGTCCTAACCATCTCAGTCAGGGTTGGACAAACAGGGGAACTCCTGGGCCTCAGACCAACTGCCAATAGCCACATGGTCCAGTTAGGCTGGCCACTGCCTTGCTTATCCAACAGTGGGGAGGAAAGCCTGGGTGAAGGCTTTACCCACATAATTAATCCTGGGACTTCCTGTGTGGCCTGACAAGGCTCTCTGTCTGGGAAATATAAATGACAAACTGAGTCAACAAGAAGCATCTCTGATAGACTGACCTGATCATCTCTAAAAATAGTCACACCTACATTTTTAAAATGCCCATTCTACAAAAAAACATCTTCACCAGCAATTCTAGAAGGACAAAGGAAATCAGAAAACCCACATCCCGAAGGTGCTGTGACTCTAAATAGTGTCCAGGCTCACCAAGCATCTCCTGGATGGCTCTCAACTTTGGGTGGGCAGAAAAGGGACCAAAAATAAAGGCATAAGAGGCCGTGGAGTTAGAGAAAAGACAAGACAAGATACAGGATGCTGTGTGAGTGTCAATAGTGAGCTACCACAAGATGTTGAAACAAAACAGGTCCCCAGCCCAGTGTCCAGTAGACTCTGACAGCTCAGATGTCCAGCTCTTCCTTGATGGAGACACGCAGATGGCAGATACGCAGAGGCTCTGGGGGACCGTCACCCCTAGAAGACCCCAGATAGAAGTAGGGCCTCACTTCCCCAAAGTGGGCATGGAAGGTATACAGGTGGCAGTGACGCTCAGAGTCATAGAAGGACAGCTCACCCTCCTCACACTCCAGCTCCACACGCAGGCGGCGGGGCATAGCCTGGACCAGAGGGGCTGTGGCTGTGTCTGAAGTCATGCAGTGGTCTCCGTCCACACCCTGTGTGCGGCATAGGTACCAGAAGCCCGAACGAGTATCGTGGTAGCAGCTATGTGAGTGGCCTTCACCACCTACATCAGCCTGAGCCTGTGCCTGTGCATGTGCCTGCACCCTCACCACACCCACTCGCCAGCTTGGCAGGCCACCCACATCCACCTCCCAAGAGTGGGAGCCCTTCGAGAAAACCTGAGAGCCCAGCAGGCAGGGTGCTGAGGAGAAGCGCTCTGGATTCTCCACCTGCACACGGTAGCCATGGTTGATGACACTCGTGAGGTCATCAGCCACTTTGAGCCAGCCAGCAGCTGTATTGGGATCCAAGCTGAAGGGCACTGGAGACAGAGAGAGAAGGGAAAAGTCAGCAAATTGAACACCCTTCTTCCAGCAGACTGGCTGAGGTCCTACCTGCTCCAATACATACAGGGAACTGCCCTGGGCTGCTGGGGTAGTATTGATCAACCCCCCCCCCCCAAAGATATGTCTAAGTCCCAAGCCCCAGTATCTCAGGATGTTTAGGAATGGATTAGAGATACAGACACTAGAGAAAGAAATGTTACGTGACCAGCCAAGGCAGAAGCCAGTTTTGTCAGTCACAAGCCAAGGACACCCAAGCAATGCCAGCAAATACCAGAATCTAAGGGTCTTCCCACAGATCTGACGGACATGGTTTTGCCCATTTCTTAGCAATGAGCTTTTAGCCTCCAAATCTGTCAGAATAGACTTTGGTCTTTAAACCAATTTGTGCTCCTGTGTAATGAATAACACAGGCAAGAGACTCTAAGTAAAAGAATCAAAGTAACATTCCCCCTGGCTACTGCCATTTCTAGGCATGAAATCAGGGCATGCTGGCAGGACAGAGTCAGAGTGACCCTGGGGGAGGTGACCTAGACTGAGGTCTTCCATCATGAATGTTAGAGTTATGAATATAGAAAGGAGTACAAGCCTCTCTGAAGTGTGGCAGAGGAAGGAAGACCAGGGGCCTTGGGCATGCCTGGAAGGGACTGTAAGGAAAACAGCTAAGAAGCTTGGCCAGTTCTCTGCAGCACAGGATAGTCTCCATTTGGCTGGAGCACCTTGGGGCATGTCCTTACCTGATTCAACAGATCCAAGCATCTTCTTCCAGACACGGTACTGCAGGGAATCCAGATACTTGCACGCATCCATCAGCAAGCCAGGCTGGAGAGGAGCTGGCTCCACTGTGCAAAAGAGCCTGGAAAGGGAAGGCTAGGCATCGGCTGGAGCTGGGGTCAAGCAGTCTACTACAAACAAGACAGCAGGACTGCTTCCCTTGACTCACACCTAAGCTTTGTGGTCATCTGTCCCAAGGCAAACCTGGATTGAGCAAGGAGCCCACTTGGCTGCTACAAGTCCTCCGCAGGAAGGTTCAATCCTGAACAACTGGGAGACACAATGGGTTCTTCAACCTAGCTGCCATCCTCATGGATAGAAACCACACTTAAGCCCGCTCATGAGAGGTCTAAGCTGGAAGGGCCTTAGCAGTACTTGAATCCAAAGAGCCAGTATCGACTGGCCTTCATCTGAGAGCTTGCAGAGACTGGGAAATCATCACAGCCCAGAGCACTCACTCCCATCTTCTGAAAGGACACAACTCTTCCTTATCCATCCGGAGAGCCCAACCAGCATCCACCCACAACAGTGTAAGCCAAGGCTCTCGGAGGAAAGAAGCCAGGCAAAAACTAGGCCTACTGATAACTGAGAAACCCAAGTCATGTGCTTGGTTCTGTAAATCCCTGTGCAGACCAGCGGCCCTCTATGTCCCGAAACAACTCTCTGCCTCCATGCCAACCAGAACTGGAATGCCTTTAAAGAGCTCCCCTTGGCTGGCCTCTACCACTCCCTTTGGATCCCACCCAGCTGGATACAATAGCTGCCTGGCCTGTCAGCTACTGGACAGGCAGCCCTGGCTTTCTGTCTGCCATCCCCACCTTCCACCAGGCTCCACAACTTACCGGCGTTTTCGGCTCTTGTGTTTCTGGGGGAGAGAAAAAAAAGAAACAGAATAAGAAAATGCAGGAAATTTCTGAAGAGTTGCCAAGCGCCCACACTCACGGATGAACAGACCTGGCTTCATTCAGATGTCACACTCCCCATGTAGATCTCATCTCAGATTCAATGTCACCCCTTGGAAATCCCAGGTACCAGGGTGAGGATGCAGCAGAGGGAGACCCTGCTCACTGTACATGAGGCCCAGGGCCAAACTTAGAACTGATCCTAAAATTCATATGGAGTTTCAGGAAATACCCGAATAGCAACCTTGAAAAACAACCAAATTGGAGGATTCATACTCCCCACTTTCAAACTTGCTACACAAGCCACTGTGATGAAAGTGGTGGGACTAACAAGGACAGAACTGACAGCCTAGATAGAAAGTCTCACGCTCACTATGTCTAAGTTTCTACAGGGAACCAAGGTCAGCTGATACAACTGTCTTCTCTGCAAATGGTGTGGGTACAACCAAACAGCAACAGACTCTGCTTTGTTATCAGATTTTTAAAATATTAACTTAAAATATGTCTAAGATTTAAATATAGATAGAGCTAAGACTGAGAAAAGACTTATACTGGGGCATATAAGAAACTCTCATATCTAAACAGTGAAAAAATCAAAGACAACCCTACTGAAACTGTATAGCTGAACATGGTGGCACACACCTTTAGTCCAAGCACTCAGGAGGCAAAGGTAAGGTAGGAGGATCTGAGTTAGAGGCCAGCCTGGTTTACAGAGTGAGTTCCAGGATAGCTAGGACTACACAGAGAAACCCTGGGAAAATAAAAATAAGGGAGGAAAGAGGGAAGGAAGGAAGGAAGAGAGGGAGGGAGGGAGGGAAGGGAGGGAGGGAACTGTAATGAAATTAAACAAGCACCTTAGGGAAGAGCTACCAATGACCCAGGGGCACAAGAATGAGAAGATGCCTATGTCATTAGTTTTCTGGAGAATGCCCATCGCAAGCACAATGAGACAATACCTCATTCATAAGGAAGCCTACGGAAAGAAAAAGAAGTGGCTAAGAGGTATAGAAACTTGACTCTCATACTCAGCTGATGGGGACACAAAATAGTATGGCTACTTTGGAAAACTGCCTAGCAGCCCTTAAGTGGGTTAATTAGAATTATCAAATAACCCACAAATCTGCTCTTGGGTACACACCCAGAAGTAAAAACATGTCCACAAACATACATATTTGGAGTCCCATTCACCATAAAAGCCAAAAGAAATAACTCAAATGAGTATCAATGGATGAATAGCAGGTAAAACACAATGTATAAGGGAAATCATTTGTTCATCAAAAGGAACAAAGTCCTGGTAGATGCATGGGTGAAGCTTCAAAACATACTTTTGTGACAGGTGTACATGGGCATGTTTGTGTATATGAAAATTCCATTTATGTGCAATATTCAGGATGGGCAAATCCATATAAAAAGACCAGTGGTTTCCAGGGGCTGTGGGGCAGCTGAAGAACATGTTCTACTTGGGCATGACAACATGTTCTAAAATAGACTGTCATGATGGCTACACTACTATGTACACAGACAACCATTAAACCAGGAGTATAAGCATACACCTCAGCTCCTGGAACTCTAAAGGCTGAGGGTCCTGGGATCACTTGATATAAGGAATTTAAAGTCAGCATTGGCAACATAACAAGATCCTATCTTAAAACAAATTAAAAACAAAAAAGTTAAAAGAAGCCAGGTGAGGTGTCCCACAACTTTAATTTCAGCACGCAGGAGGAACAGGTAGGCCAGCATGGTCTTTATAGCAAGCTCTTGGCCAGCTAGCTCTACATGGAGAGAATGAATTCCTTTCTTCCCCCCTCCCTCTCATGGTCACAAATCAAGTCACTTCTTGTAGAGGTCTTTGTGCTCATAGATAAGCACTAGGGGAACCTGGAATGTTAAACATGCAGGGTTGTTCCTCAATCTTCTGTGGACGTGGCTAATAGCTAGGAGACTTTTGCACTATCTGTGTGATGGGAAACCACACCAGATCCTTATCATACGCTTCTTTTCTCAGTCAATAGAATCATCTTTACAGTGAGGTGTCACTGTAGTCAATCTATAGAACTCATCTTTATGAAAGGTGTCATGTGTACTTTATAAAGAATTTCGATGTAGTCACATTTGATTGTTATTTAGCTTACTTTATGCTTCATTGTGTACACAGGATTGAGTTAATTATCACCAGGAAAGTTCCAAATTGTGCTGTGCTTAAATATGCCTAAAATAAAATATTTGGGGTCAGACTCCCAAGGTTTGAACCAACATCGGCTTATGGAACTATGTTCTTGCCTCCCACAACTGCTCTGTTGGCTCTGGTGTTTGCAGACAGAACCCCCCTCTCCACCCCCCACCTTCTACATCAGAACCATTCCTCCTGGAAACAGTGAGTACAGGGCAAGGTGACAGCACATCCAGTTTCCCAAGAAAGGTCAGTAAGGAACACAGCTTTTGGAAACCATCACGTGACTTCTGTTCTCTCCCAGAGCATTCTGGGTACAGGACATCCTGGTCAAGGCTTCAAATGTGAGGCCACTGAACATGGAAATGCCAGTGTCTCCTCTCACACTACTGCAAAGACTCTCCAGAGATGTGACTTACTGTGCTGGAAGCACAGAGACCACCCTGCCGCTAGCACTAATTTACAAAGTAGCTTTCAAGCCACAGAAACTTCTCTGCAAGGAAGGACAAAGCCAATACAAGAAGAAAATGATTTTGAGTGTTTTTTTTTTGTTGTTTTGTTTTGAGACAGGGTTTCTCTGTGTAGCCCTGAAGCCTATCGTGGAATGGAACACACTCTGTAGACCAGGCTGGCCTCGAACTCACAGACACTTGCCTACTTCTGCCTCTCTAGTGCTGGGATTAAAGGTGTGCACCACCACCACCTGGCGAAAATGTTTCAAAGGAAGTGTGTATGTGTATGTGTGCACGCGCTCGTGTATGTGTAGGTCCAGACACTCAAGTACATGTGCTTATGGAGTTAAGACGTCAATCTCAGCTCATTCCACAGGTGCGTTGTTCTTGACATAATGTCTTTTACTGCCCTGGACCTCACCAAGCTGTTTATGCTGGCTGCCCAGGGAGCTCCAGGGATCTACCTGTCTCTACCAAGCCAGCACTGGAATCCCCAGTGAGCTACCATGCTCAGCTGATTTTATGTGGTTCCAGGGGTCAACTTGGATCCTCAAGCTCGGAAGGTTAAGTACTTAAGTACTTTACTGAACCATCTCCTCAGCCTGGAACCACTCTTTCTTTTCTTTCTTTCTTTCTTTTTTTTTTTTTTTTTTTTTTTTTTTTTTTTTTGATTTTTCAAGACAGGGTTTCTCTGTGTGGCTTTGGAGCCTATCCTAGCACTTGCTCTGGAGACCAGGCTGGCCTCGAACTCTGAGATCTGCCTGCCTCTGCCTCCCAAGTGCTGGGATTAAAGGCGTGCGCCACCAAGGCCCGGCTCACTCTTTCTTTAACAAGAGAGAAAGAAGGCAGAGGGAGATCTTATCCCCACCCCCACCCCCCCAAAAAACAAAACAAAGAAAGAAAAGAAAAAGGGCTGGGCATGTGCCTCAGTAAGAGTAGTTGTTATACACAAAACCTAGGCTATGGAGCCATCACTGCAAAGGAAGGGAAGGAGGTGGGGGTAGGAAGAGGAGAGAGACAGGGGAGAAAAGAAAAAGTACTAAGATAAACATAATCAGGGCCAGTTAAATGGCTCAGCAGGGTAAGGAGCTTGCTGCCAAGCATAAGGACTTGTTTGATCTCTGGGACCCAGAGTAAAAGAAGACTGTTTAAGTTGCTCTCTGACTTCCATAAAACCACTTTGCAATGTGTACCTATTGTGGTAGTTTGAATGAAAATGGCCCCCACAGACCCATACAGAGTGTCACTATTAGAGAAGTGTCCTTGTTGGGCCTTTGAGTTCTTCCTTTGATGTCACAGATACTCAAATCAGATCCAGTGGGTCACTTTCTCTCTTCCTGCTGTCTGACAATCCAGATACAGCTACTTTTCCAGCACCATGTCTGCTGCCATGCTGACAATGAACTAAACCTCTGAACTATAAGCCAGCCCCAATGAAATGCTTCCCTTTATAAGAACTGCCATGGTCATGGTGTCTCTTCACAGCCATAGAAACCCTAAGACACCTGTCTACAAGAAATAAAATGTAATAGACGTTTTAAAAATTTAAATTACACAATTTTAAAAAACTATTTCATTTAGGGGGAGAGAGAAAGCACCAACTAACAAAAACAGAAGCAAGACTTAGTAAAGAATGGTGGCGGTGGCGGGAGGATATTCAGAGCTGCCAAGCCACTGCTCTGGCACAAGCCATGCCAATGAGGTCCTGTTGAACGGGGCTGATAGTCTGAGCTGCTGGCCCCTGACCTTGTTCCTCAGTTCAGACACTGAGCCTCTTACCATGAGGAAGGTCATGTCATCTTCCTTTATTTCCATCTGTAGACGCTCAATCTCTCGAGCCAGTGCCTCAGTCTGTTCTGCCAGCTGTTTCATCTTCTCCTCAACCAGCAGGTGCTTCTTTCTGCTCTCTTCCTTCATGGCACCCAAGGTGGCTTGTTCCTCCACCCTCAGGAAATCGCGGAGCTTGTCAAACTCATACCGGATGCGGCCTTCCAGCCAAGTCGTCTGCACCTGCAGCAGAGCAGGAAGAAGCCCTCAAGTTCAGAAGCCAGGGTTTGGGCTGCCCCGGCTGGTGACTACTTTCAGCAAAGCAACTCAAGGCTCTAGGTGTGACACGAGGAACCCTTAGAGATAACGATCAGGGTACCTCTGTAGCTCCAGAGTTAAAGGAGGACAGGAACAGCTGTTTGGTATAAGTGTTTATTTAATGACACCTACATTTCAAGTTAACCATGGTAGGATTGACTCACCTCATTGTGCTTGGCAATGGCCTCATAGGTACGCCGCAGGGCCCAAAAAGCCTTGGCTTTCTCTCGAAGCACGTGCTCCATGTTCTTACACTTGGCCTAATGTGGGGAATACAGAGATACGTTAGCACTAGAAGCCAGGCAGGAGAACTAACACACCTGTTCACAGCTGGAGTTCCGCTGTGGAGTCCAACCACAAGCCAGGGAAGTCAATCTGCTCCAAAGGCTGTAGGCACAGCTGGAAGCTGGGTACAGCTCCAACCCTGAACTGCATGTGTCCTGCCTCAGTCCTCGAACCCAACACTGAAGAACAATGGTGCAGATGGAAAGCAAGGCTCAGCAGTTCTGGTCAGCCAGCTCCAGCCTATGACTGCTCCTAGAACCCCAGAGCTGTGGGGATACCATCAAGATGGCTTGGCCACTGGCCTTTCTGGAACTCCCCAAACTGGACTTATCTACAGCAAGTCTGAACAGGGTTAACAATATAAATGGTTCCAGTCATTTCAAGAGGCAAAATATTCAAAGGAGATCTCCCCTAAACACACCTCCATACACCACCTTTTCCTTTAATGGTGCTGGGACCACAGGAAATGCCTTCATCAGCAAACTCACGAATTTTTCTATTTGTTGCATTATCTGAGACAAGGTCTTACACTAGTGCACAGGTTGGCTCACTATGTAGCCAAATTGTTCTCAAACACATGGTGATCCTTCTGCCAAGTGGTGGGATCACAGGCGCAAGCAATCACACCCAACTAGTTCTTTGTACTTAAAACATTTTAGGGCTGGAGAGATGGCTCAGAGGTTAAGAGCACTGGTTGTCCTTCCAGAGGTCCTGAGTTCAATTCCCAACAACCACATGGTGGCTCACAACCATCTATAATGAGATTGGTGCCCCCTTTCTAGTATGCAGGCTGACATGCAGGCAAAGCACTGTATACATAAATAATTTTTTTAAAGAATCTTAAAAATATATGGCATGTGTGTGTCCATAGGAAGGTGTCCCATTCAATCACTCCCCACCATAATCTGTCATTTTTCTTTTATTTTTGAGGTTGTAAAATTAACATCATTTCTCCCTTCCCTTTCCTTTCTCTAAACCCTCATTTGCTTTCAATTCATAGCTTTTTAAAATTTTCATCACATGAATATATATTTATATACACATATATCCCTAAATACAATCTGCTCAGTAGGTAATGTTGCTTGTGTATGTGTTTTTCATTGCAGAACATTTGGTATGGTGTGCTCTTCCCTGGGGAAGACTATATCTCCCCCTCTGTTTATGTTGCCTGTAGTTCTTTGTGTAGGGTTGAGGCTTAGTGGTCTTTCTCCCATCCATTTTGGAACATCCATTTGGTGTGAATATATGTGCTTTCTCAGCTCATGTTTAGGCAGTCATGTTGGTAAGATTTTATGGGTGTCACTTCTGACATTACCAGGAGACACAGCAAACTCCCTGATCACCTGACTCTTCCTCAATGTCCCCTGAGCCTTGATCCACCATAACCTTGAGATAAAGTCTCTCACTGAATCTAGACGTAGGTCAATGTCCTGTGTCTCCACCCCTCCCACCCCAAAAAAAGGAATCAGGTAATCATGTGATCATACTTTCATGTGGGTTCTGGGAATATGAACTTGAGCCAAGCACTCAGCAAGTATGAACTAACCCATCTCTCTAACATTCTGTCTAATATTTAAAAATAAACCAATTCTAACACACACACACTAACACACACACACACACACACACAAGTTTAAGGAAGGCACTTAAACATGTGCCTAATACCATTGCTCTCCTTTTAAAGATTTTTATTTTACACGTGTGGGTGTTTTGCCTCCATGTATGTCTGTGAACCACATGTGTGCCTGGTACCCAGAGGTCAGAGAGGATGTCAGATCCCTTGGAACTGGAGTTACAGACTGCTGTGAGATACCATGTAGGTACTGGGAACAGAACTCAGGCCCTCTGGAAGAGCAGCCAGTGGAACTGGAGTTAAAGACTGGATCTGCCCTGCAGCAGTAATAAAAAAGCTAACACACATGGCCTTTATTACTTTTACAGGGCTGTGGCTCACATCTGTAATGCCAGCACTAGATCCCTGGAGTTCAAGGGCCTACAAACGTAGATGAATCAATGAGCTCCAGAACCAGTGAGAGGCCTGGTCTTAAAATGTAAAGGCAGAAAGAGATCAAGGAAAAGTTGTCACCTACCCCCTCCCCATACATAAAAGAAAAGTGTACTCTATCCAAACCTGAGGACACCATACCTGAGGACTTTCTAAGGTTCCCCTGAGCACTCAGGTTCTTTCTTGAGCTCTGATTATCTAAAATCTTCCACCAGGTCCCACTGTGTTAGGACAAAGTCCCAGCTCACTAACATCCCCCTCAGTGTCTTATGAATTGATCTGCCCAGCAGCAGTAATAAAAACACCAACACACGGCCTTCATTACTTCTCCAGGGCTGTGACCCACAAACCTAACACAACAACCAAAGGGAAGATTCCTTCATTTTGCTCAGTTTCAGAATTATCAGTTTGGTCCATCACAGGTGTGGGGGGTGGCTGAGCAGAGGTGGCCAAGAAGCAGAGAAAGTGGATACAAGATACAGCCCGCAAGGACACATCCCACAAACTGCCTTCCTCCAACTGGGCCCCACCTCCTAACTTACCACCTACCAATGAGGCCATCAAATGATGAACCTGTGAAAGGACTCACTCACTGACAGGGTCAGGGTCTCATTCTTGGAACACCTTCAGACACTCAAGGAGTTGTACTTTACTGTCACAGTCAAGATTGACCATCACACAGCTTCAGGGTTTCTGTGGACATTAAGTTTTGTTAATACTTAAGAGGATCTAACACAGAGTAAGTAAGTCCTCAAAGATGATTGCTGCTGGATTATCACATGGTAGCCAAAGGGATCTTTCTTCTAAGCACACACCTCTGGGGGTCCCTGAGGGTACCCAGCAGGGCCACGCTTAGTCTAGCTGTCTCCCCACTCTTACCTTGTGGTAGGTCTTCCCATGCTCCCTCAACCCACACCCATATCCAACCACACAGAGCCATGCTCATCTCCAACTGCCTCACCCACTCCTCTGAAATGTCAACTTCCAGAAACAGTGTTCTAGGTTTGCTTTCTGTTACCATGATAACCAAAACTAACAGGGAAGAGTTTATTCCAGTTTATACTTCCAGATCATACTCCATCGCCACGAGATGTCAGGGCAGGAAATCAAGCAAGAACTAATGCAGAAACTGTGGAAATCATGGAGGTATGCTGCTTTCTGAGTCACTCCAAGCCTCGTGTTCAGTTAGCTTTCTTATACCACCCAGGCTCCCACACCAATCACCAATCTAGACAATCTCTCAGACTGGCTGATCCCTCCCTTCTGGGTAGTCCCTCAACTGAAATTCCCTCAGATGACCCTAGGCTGTTTCAAGGTGAAATTAACTACGACAGAGAGGTGGTCTTATGGACTTAAAGCAGCCGTAACACCTAGAACAGAGTGTGGCATACAAAGGGTCCTCAGTGTTTATTTCACAAACGAATAAATGAATGGGCTGTAGCACATCTGTCTGAGCACACAGCTTGTGCTCTCCTGGGATCTTTCAGACTAGCTCCCTGCTCTTAGACTCACGTTGAGTACCTTCTGGCCCCACATCACCATTCTAAAATGAAGGATAAGACTTGGGCCTCCTGGCTTCACCTGGTGTCTAATGCTCTCTCTCCTAGAACCTTCTACATGCTGCAACATCTGCTTCACCTAGTTAATGCCTCTATATCCTTCACATATTTTCCATAAGCTTCCTGAGAGTGGGAATATTAACACTGATCTCCTCAGTGACCCGAGACCTCCCAGTACAAGAACAAAAGAATGCCTCCGGGCCCATGTTCCCTGTTCCGTAGCTCACAAGTCTTTGGTTGAGGCTTGATCCCCACTCATTCTGGGGACACCACCCATGCTAATCTGTACCTCTGCCAGCCCCAGGAAATTCAAATCAGGACCCAAGTCTCCACACTGCCTACTTCAGCTATGCCAAATAAGGATCTAGTAATTCTGCTGGTGGAAGTGGGAACAAGAATGCTATGGGCCACAGCTGAGCAAATGTGACTGGAGCAACATGCATGTGGATGGCATCCACCTGACCCCTTCTACTCTGTATGGAACTGCAATCAACCGGGCTGATTCTCAATAAAGACATCTCACAAAGCCTGGAAAGGGTGTCTGAAGATCAGGCACGGTGGGCTCCTGCAGTGCCTCTGGCAGCTAACCTGGGCCCTCCCAACTGTGGGTCTGACCCATGTACTAGTAGCTGCTGAAACAAATTCAGTTGTTTCAGTCCATCAGTAGCTAAACAAAAGTTACAAGACACTGCCAGAGTAATATGGACATTTCAGAAACCCCTTTAAAAAGTCAGTTGATCCGTCAGTATAAGTGCTTTGGAAAGCAATGGAGCATGCATTCTAAGCGATTAGGTCAAATGTTTTCGAAAATGTCTGACCCTATTTACTTAAAAAAATTTTTTTTCTGTTTTAGAACAAAGACTTCTCACTGGGCCTAGAGTCATGGGCCTGTATCTCAGCCACTCACAAGGCTAAGGCAAGCAGAGAGCCACTCTCAAGGCCAGCCTGGCTAATTTAAGAGCTTGGCTCAAAACCAAAATTAGGTTGGGGGGGGTGTAGTTGCGTTGCAAAGTACTTGCCTGGAACGTATGAAGCCCGAGCTTGATCTCCTGCAGCACTGACACCCACCCTTCCCCACGCTAGTTTTGCTGTGTCAGCTGCTCTTGGTTTAATTATAGCCACTGGAACTCCAGATATTTGGACGCTAAAAGAGTAATCGGAGTAAGGCAGCGGGCGAGCACCACAGGCCTGTCCTATGGCTCAGAAACCTGTGCGGCCCCACTGGGCTGGGGAAATCTCCAGGGCTCAGAACCGGAGGGAGCTAGGGCCTGGCCTCCACTTCTAAACCGATCATACCAAGCCCGAATGCCTGAGGATGGTACCATTCCGGCATTGTCCAGAGGGGCCTGGAAGGGGAACAAAAAGGTGGCTGGGCCCGGGGGAGGGGGAGGGGCAGTCCCGAGGTCCCAGGGTGGGCTGGCGCGATGCTCACCCGGAAGTCCTGAGCAGTGTCCTTGATGGGCTGCACGCGGTGCTCCTGGTGCCGGGCGTCGGCCTGGCAGGCGCAGCACAGCAGCTCCTTGTCCTCTAAGCAGAAGAGTGTAAGCGGGGCGCGGTGAGCGCGACAGGGGCGCGGGGACCGGCGACCGGTCCAGCGCGCGCCCTCGGCCTCCTCCCGCAGCAGGGTCTCCACCAGGTTGTTGAGCGTGTGGTTGGTGCGCAGCTCCCCGGGAACCGCTCGTTCCTTGCACACCGGGCACGAGGGCGTCGTCTGCACCTCCCAACAGCTGGTCACACACCGGCGGCAGAAGTTGTGGCCGCAGCGGAGCGTCACCGCGTCGTGGAACGGGTCGTAGCAGACCGCGCACAGCAGCTCCTCTTTGAAGGAGCGC